ACAGATCAATCCATATATAGCTTCAGCATGTTATAAATTGGTCATTGCATCCGGTTAGCTCAGAATTCAGTTTATCATGTTAGAATATTATACTTGCTTTTATGCTTGTTCAATTATGTTTTATTTCAACTTTACTCTATCCTACATGCTCAGTACCTTTCAAGTATTGACGCATATGTACACTACATCTTCTCGTGATGTAGGTTCAGGTTCTCCGCATCCAGATCACGCATAAATCGACTTTCAATCTCCAGTTCAGCATATTCATTGGCGAGTCCCCATTCTCCGAGGACAACAGTTAAGAGTTTCATTTCAGTCTTTAGTCATTTAGTTTCAATTTTTTCTAGATTTAGCCGGGGCTTGTCCCAGTATTTCTAGTCTAGTTTAGAGTCTTATTTCAGACATAGTTAGTTTCAGATTAGTGTTGAGTTAGTAACTGCATTGTATTAAACTCATCAGTTTTCATAAATATATCAGTTTTAGCATATGTTTATTCCCCATTTTTTCATTATAAGTTATGATTTAGATTCCGTATCAGTTTACTATCTTTAGTATGCTATGATCATGACAGCATGGTTAGCTTGGGATCACTTTTGGTCCTAGGTTCTGTTTCCACGTCTCGGGGGTAGCTCGGGGCGTGACAGGTACACACGTAGAAAAAAATATTTTCTAAAATATATATGTCTACATGTAAAACACAAACTAGAAAAATGTAAAATAATAATAATAATAATAATAACAACAATAAGAGCCGAGGATTTTAGAAAAATAATATTAAAATTAATTTTAAGAAGGAGTGGAGGAGGGGTTTGTAAAAATATTTTATGTATATATTAAACAAAAAATAATTTAAGTGTTTTTTTGAAATTTACCTCAATAAATAATAAAGTAGGATAAATTAGGGAAAAAACTTATTTGAACCGAATGTTTATCCTAAATCAGTGCAATTTCTGTTATTACCTAATACAATGAAGTAAAATGAACTATAAAGTACTTTGAGATTGAGGTATGTAACTTTTTTTAAAACCAAGCAATCTCTTATGGAAATATCTAATTTATAACTGGCTTTATCCTTAAGAAGTTGATCACTAAGAGAACCGAAGATGCATGCCTTAACCAACTCATCACTCTTATTCCGTTGCAAGTAATCTTCCTTATTTCTAATCTCATCCCCTTTTTTTCCTTCTTTTGGGGGCTCCAACCCATCCCCTTTTTCTTTTTCTTCTTCCTTTGCAGTCTCGATCTCATCCCCTTTTTCTTTTTCTTCTTCTTCTTTTGCGGACTCGATCTCATGCCCTTCTTTTTCTTCTTCTTCTTCTTCTTCTTTTGCGGACTCGATCTCATGCCCTTCTTTTTATTCTTCTTCTTTTTTTTGGGGGGGGGGGGGG